TATAGCATCCGTATGTTTCTTGCAGCGTTATTTATAATAGCCAAGATACGGAAACAACCCAAGTGTCCATCCATAAATCAGTGGAATGAAACAGAAAACCCAGAAATGAATCCACAACGCTATGGTCAGTTAATCTTTGACACAGCAGGAAAGAATATCCAATGGAAAAAAGACACTCTCTTTAACAAATGGTGTTGGGAAAACTGGACAGCTACATGCAAAAGAATGGAACTACACCAACATAAATTCAAAATAGATGAAAGACATAAGTGTGAGACATGAAACCATAGAAATCCTAGAGGAAAACATAGTTGGTAACCTCTTTGACCTCAGCTGTAGCAACTTATTTCTAGATAAGTCTCCTAAGGCAAGGGAAACAAAAGCAAAAATAATCCATTGGGACTTCATCAAGATAAAAAGCTTCTCCACAGAGAAGGAAACAATCAATGAAACTAAAAGGTGACCTACAGAATGGGAGAAGATATTTGCAAATAAAGGGTTAGTATCCAAAATATATAAAAAACTGATCTAACTCAATACCCCAAAAACAAATAATCCAATTAAAAATGGGCAGAAGACATAAACAGACATTTTTTCCAAGGACGACATCCAGATGGCCAACACACACATGGAAAGATGCTCAACATCACTCATCATCAGGAAAATGCAGATCAAAACCATGAGGAGATACCACCTCACACCTGTCAGAATGGCTAAAATTAACAACTCAGGCAAGGACAGATGTTGGTGAGGATGCGGAGAAAGGCGAACACTTTTGCCCTTTTGGTAGGAATGCAAACTGGTGCAGCCACTCTGGAAAACAGTGTGGAGTTTCCTTGAAAAGTTAAAAATAGAACTACCCTATGACCCAACAATTGCACTACTAGGGTATTTACCCAAAGGATACAAAAATATTAATTCAAAGGGATACATACACCCCTATGTTTATAGCAGCGCTATCTATAATAACCAAATTATGGAAATAGCCCAAGTGTCCAGTGACTGATGAATGGATAAAGAGGATGTGGTGTGTATATATACAATGGGATATTGTTCAGCCGTAAAAAGAATGAAATCTTGCCATTTGCAATCATGTGGACAGAGCTAGGGAGTATGATGCTAAGCAAAATAAGTCAGAGAAAGACAAATACCATATGATTTCACTCATATGTGGAATTTAAGAAACAAAACAAATGAGCAAAAGGAAAAAAGAGAGAGAGAGGCAAACCAACAAACAGACTCTTAACTCTAGAGAACACACTTACAGT